CCCTGACCTGCCTTGAATTCGACGTCGGGCGCCTTGGTGAGCGTGTAGGAGAGGCTCGGATCGAAGCTGGGTCGCTTGGCCTCTTCTTCCTTGAAGGGCTTGTACTTGGAGCCACCGCCGGCGCCGGTGCCGGGTACGCCGTACGTATCTCCGTTTGTCTGATTGGTCATCCTTATGATCGGCGTGTGTATCGGCTGGGCGAGGTGAGGCCGCAGTGGTGGTCTCGATGAGAGGATGGGTCTAGTGTGACGAGTGATGGACATCGTGGTTCGAGGCGATCCGCTTTTGAGCCACGCCAGCGGCGGTTAAACGCCTGCGGGCCAAAGCGCGCTGTGGAGAGACGCCGGCTTCGACCTCCACCAACGGCTAAATCCGAACCCACCAAAATCGGCCACCGCGGCAACTCCCAAGCGCCCATCCCGCGATTTCCTCAAATCCCGCAGTCCACCGTCCCACTCTCATTTCGTCGCTTGAGACATGTTTGGTGGGGCATCAGGCCCACTCACAGACAGTGGGGGGCGTGCATACAGTAGATCCGTTCATATCTAGGGCGTCAGAGCGGCGTCGAACACCCGGACTTGTGCGCCAGCGGTGCGGCTATTCAAACGGGCGTGGACTTGCTTTCTGCGTTCAACTCGTGTAGCCCGAGTTCCGAATCATTTTTGGCCGCGTCGGAGGAAATTTGTGACGGTCCATGCGCTGGACCCTGTTCCGCCTTGTCATCGTCGCTAACCTTCTACCTCCACCCACCGCGAGCGCCGCCTCTACCTGGCATCGGCAGGTTGTGCAACATGTCGATCGTGGGCTGGATCCTGCTTGCCATCATCGCCTACTTGGCTCACGCTGCGTACCAGCGCGTCCAGCACTCACGCAAGCGCGCCGAGTTCGTGCGCGATCGAAGGAGGGCCGCCGGCATCCCGGACGATGATCGCAGACCATTTGCCGTAGCAAGAGCTGACGCGCTTTCTCGCAAATCACAGCAACGTAGAGACGAGACTTTGTCGACGCCAAACAAAACGCGAACATCGGCGAGGCCACACTCGTCATCCCGAGCAACACTCGATCACGAGGCAGCGGGCCGGCTGTCAGGCATTCCGGGAACGCTTCCTGGATACCTCAAGGACACGCTGGCATCCAAAGCCCCATCCGCCTCGCCGAACTATCAGCGCCCATCACAACATTCAAAGGCACCGCGCAGCCCATCCCCGGTAAAGGTCCGCAGCGGCACCATCAAAATGAACCCATCGAACGCTGCAATGAAACGAAGAGCATCGCAAGCACCAGAATCGCCTTCCAAGGCTGCTCGTCGACAAGCAGCGCCAACAGCTCCTAGCTCACCCAGCCCGAGCAAACTCGAACGTCACCACCAAGGCCTAGCAACAAAGAAAGGTGACTCGAAGCAGGCAAAGGTGAAGCGCGAGGCCATCCCCGGCACGTTTGGAAGCGACCCAGCCACCAGCGACCACGAGATGTCGGAAGCCGAGCCAGACAGGCACGAAGAACAGGAACCCAAGCAAGAACCCATGGATGAGGACGCACTGCCCAAGCGAGCGGCTGACCTTGGTGCAGCACCGCTCAGTGCGCTAGCACGCTCAACAGCCAAAAAGCGCGAAGCGGACGAGCTGGACCACACAGACTCGGAGGCGAGCTGGGAGCCAAGCGATGGCGAAGAGCACATCGATTCGCACCCTCCCAGCTCGAAGCGATCGCGCAAGACCAACAAAGAGCTCGACCCGAGTTCGTCGCTCGACTTTGAGATGGCGCTGCCGGAGGAAGCCATGGCGGATTTCAACCCCGCTGCCTCATCGACAGCGTCTGCAGCTGAACCTGCTTCGTCGCGCATCAAGAGACGTGTCGACACGTCGGACGACCGGCAGCCCGGCGAGGAGTGGATCGACTTTGAAGGGCTGCGGTGGCGCATTCATCCGGAGACGCACGAGCTGGAGCGTTGGAGCGACGTGCTCGAGTGGCGCTCCAAGTACCGCATGCCGCGCGACTCGCTGCATCCGATGGCGCGCGAAGAGCATCAAGTGGTGGTGCACAAGTGGCTCACCAAGCACGCGTGGGAAGAGGCCAAGGCGAACAAGCTGCTGGCATTCCAGGAGGCCGAGCGTCTGGCAGACAAGGAGAAGCAGGACAAGATCGACGCCGAAAAGATGCAGCGCAAACAGGAGCTGCTTGCCAAGATTCGGCAGACGGCCTCGCCCAACAAGCGCATTCAGTCGTATCTGATAGAGCAGCACAAGAAGAGCCTGCAGCATAGGGTGTCACAGAGCGACATTAGTGCCGACATTTCGATGGCGTCGAATACGACGCTCGAGCCCGATGAGGGTACTGTCAGTATGTCGATCGATTCCATGTCGGTCCTGGACGGCTCGACGCCGGGAAAGCCTAGGTCGAGACGCATCTCGCTGCGCGCCAATACGCCCGGCAGAGGAGAGACGGCGCGTGCGGGGGGCGAACAACGCTCGGCCAACTCGTCCACCACTGCCAGTCCGACGCGACGTAACAGTCCGCTCGCAACACCGTACCGTGCGATTCAGTACCCCAAGCAGAGAAAGGCCAAAGACGCATCGCCGCTCGTAAAGTCGTTCCCACCACCTTCACCGTAGTTGCGCTTTCAATTCGGGTCTGCACTATGTCATGCAGCTTCACAAAAGCCGGTACGTGTGTGTGCATTGCTTCACATGCAAGCTTATCTTGGCGCACAAGGGAGGCAAGGATGTGTGGGGCGGTCGAATCACATACTGAGGGCTAATCGTTGCTCAGACAAGGAAGATCGGACGTAGCGGTTGGCGGATGGACCGACAGAGCCGTGCCAAGGCTGGGCGCGAAGAATCCCGGGCACGGGCCAGCAATTAGCCAGCGGTCAGCCAGCAATTGCAATGACATGCATGATCGAAGCCAAGCCTCATGCAGCGCGGGATGGTGTGATTGGCGAGAGATGTCGATTGCGATCAAGAAGAATCGTCAGCTGACTACGACCAATCGTGGGTCGCGGGGGAAAGATGGAATGATGGCCAGGGGGACCGGGTATCTGACCGGAAAGGCAGGGTTGATGGTGATACCGTAGATTGCCGGGGATATGCACACAGCCTCAACGTCGATCGACCTGCATTGTGCGCGACTCGCTCAACTCATCCTCGTCGGGAGGCTGTTGCTCTTCTGAAAGATCTTCTGAAACGTGGGGGAGACGAAGCGGGAGTTGACGGAGTGAGCCGAAGGCTCGCGCTCCGGCTGTCACTTGACAGTGCAGCGCTGGCAATATCGGAATCGCTTCCGTTGCCACGGTCTGGCAGCAGTGGCGCAAAAGAGGCGAGATGGAGCGCCGACCGAAGGTGCCGCCGCACTCGATGAGCCCGCCTGTTGGCGAGCGGATATCGAAAGGCGTTCCTGAAGACAATGCCAAGATGCCTCCCACCGACGGCATTGAAGCATTGCCAAGACCAGCGAGCGGTGCGGAGCGGATGGAAGAGCTTCCTCCGAGCCACGCCCGTTTTGCTTGGCATGTCGATTTTTGCTGCTTCCTACAGTGTCGGGGGCCACAAAACGACAGGGTTCCAAGCTGTGGATTGAGGAGTGTGAGCTTTGCTTTTGCCGAGCAGGCAGCAACATCTCGTGCGACTCCTCACAGCCATCTGGACAAGCGAGACCGCTCGACCCAGCGCAAGCCACGGCGGCCTTCTCCGTCGGTTGGTTGAAGGCTTTCGGAAGCCACAAGCGAGAAAGCGGAATTCGGCACCTGCGGCTTGCGACGATGGCTGTGAGCCAGTGCACACAAACACGAGCGTGGGCGTACAGTCTTTGCAAAGCGAGACGGAGCAAGCCACATGACATGGGCAGTAAGGCCCGCAGGAGCCAATCAGCAGGCTGGGATGCGGCGAATTTGACCAGAGTGCAGCGATTCCCCGCTCGACCAGCGCCGTGGAGGCGAGCGAGCTTGTTTTGATGGCTCATTCAATTTGGCAGCCCAACTCCGCCCGGCAAGCCGAGCAGCCAATCTACTAGGTGCGGCAAATCGCCGCAAAGGAGCCTTTCTTCTGGCACGATTTGCAACCCCGCTCCATCCACTCGCAGCTGCGACCGGCAAGCCCCTTGGGTGCCGGAACTTCTCCCACCCAACCCGTCCGCATCGGATGGCCGACGTCGACACACAATGCTCGAACCAATCAACCGGCACACCAATACAAGAGGCCAATCAGCTGGCACGCCAATGCAAGTACTTATCGTGAGCAGAGGGGCAGCATTGAAACAGGATGCAAGCTGCAGCGGTCAGGTGGATCAGGCGTCGAGACAAGTCTCGAGTTCCAACGGCATATCTGCCGAAGGATCAGGAACGGCGTCGGTCACGCGTACCTCCTCTGGTCCAGATACGAGTGAGCTAATCCGAGTCGGGGCCGTCGAGACAGCTCAGGCCGAGGCCGCGGATGATTGGAGCCGGACGGGCGGTGACTGCGATTGAATTTGGAGGTGAGGGTGGCCGCGGGTTATCAGCAGAGCTTCTGACTGGCTCGCCCCACCCTGTGCGTCTCTCTCGTGTCGCCTCGCGTTGCCTCGCTTGCTGCTTGCTATCAGACGCATGAAAATTGCCTGTGCTCTCGTGCAGCGCCCGCCGCCCTTATCCATTCGTTCACGCAGCGACCCAGTGCAGCCACACTGTTTCCATGCACTGGCACGGTTGCAGCCGCATGACACGGCTCCCTTGCGGCCCTCACGAGCCAAGCCTTTTTCGGAGGTGCTAGCCGTGCTCTGATTCGTCCGACGGCCTTCCCCCATCCTGCGTCTGCACACTCGCTCTTGGCCGTCAGTCTCGCGTGTCCATCCATCCATGCCCACCGCTAGGGCCCCATCTCGGTTGCTCGCCGACTCGCAGCCAATGAGCAGGCGAGAATTCGGCAAAAGCCCGTCGCGCAGCCAGAACTCGCTGCAACCCTCCGTTTGAACCAGTGTGCAGCGATTCGCCACCCCCGGTCCCAGCAAGGCAAGCGCCAGATAACGCAGCAGCCCGGCCTGGCCATCTCTGCCCTCCTGATTGGCTTGCCGCACTGACAGGCTGTGCGGTGGCACACCGTTGCCAGGCTTGGCGTAGAACGGCTTGCGTGATCTGGCAGCCCTGCATCACCGGTTCGGTCTCGTCCGATCCCGTTCCTGGTGTCCGTCAGCGACGCCTTTCACAGAAGTTACACACAAACAGCAGTACCTGAAAGGTGATGGTCTGGGTAAGGGGGCGTGACGATGAGAGCTGAGCCAGGATTATCGAAACTTTTTTTTCGGCCTCGATGTGCAACAGGGATCGCTTGGTGGTCCGGAAGGGGACGGCGGATAGGCCGAGGAGCACACAGGTCTGGGCTGTTGGTCCAGTTTTTTTGGTCGTCGCGCCGCCGCCAGTGTGCCTGGGCTCTGGTTCAAACGCGGAATTTCGATTTTCTGGCTATTCGTGTCGCCCGCGTGCCCTCGTCCGTCTGGATTGTGCTTCGCCCTCGACCCCGCCCCACATGCACCTCGCCACCTCGCCTGATTCGCTTGCCTATCGCTCGCCTGCATCCTTCCTCATGTGGCGGCTGCTGCTGCTGCTGCTGCTGCTG